AAAATAAGTAAATTTGCACATCAATTTTTTTTATCTCATAACGTAATCGACTGATTTTCCAGTTTTGTTTGTTTTTTATTTCAATTAATTCATTGTTATAAGTTGTTTTTACCTAATCAGGCAGTCCAGCAATGATCCGAAAATTACATATTTATTTATTTTATTTTGATCTTTTTTTTTCCCCTTCATTCCCTTCATTATAAAGAATGGTTGCAAGACTCCCTTTGGTTTACCTTGTTCGACATGGTAATATATTTCCTTTTATTATCCAAAAATTAATTAAATATTTATATAGTATTGGATATACTAGGTGAAACAGAATGGTCAAAAGCAGGAAAACACACATCAGTCACAGAGGTAGAATTAACGTCTCATGGTATCACACAAGTTCACGACTTGTCTAGTTTCGTTTTTGAAAACACGTGTCAAGGTAATGCTCAAGACACATTCACAAACATATCACATTTCCTTTAATCAAGTTTCCTATTTTGGTTAGGTTTCATTGATCCAAAAAATCTCTCACAGATTTATGTTTCGCCTCGTAAACGAGCTCAACAAACCCTTGATTTGATTAAAATTCCCAATAAAGATCAAATTCCCACTTTCACTGATATTAATTTGACAGAATGGAATTATGGTGATTACGAAGGAATCTCGACACATGAAATTCATAGTAGTAAATACGTATTTTGGGATCTTTGGTAATAATATTTTATTCGAGAGAGATTTTTAGAAAGTTTAGAAATTATTAAGATACTTTTGATTACACTTAATAGGAAAGATGGATGTCCCAATGGGGAAACCATTCAACAAGTAGCCACCCGAAGTGATCACATGATTGCAAAAATTATGGCTCATCAGAACGAAGTACTTTCATAAACTTTTACTCTCATTTTCTAATTTTCTGCTTTAAATACTGAATAAAAAATTTTCTTCCTCCCCTTTTATTGATAAAGCATTTAGATAACAAACCCAATTCGCCGGGAGGTGACGTGCTTATCGTAGCGCATTCTCACTTGTTGAGAATTATGGCATGTAGGTGGTTGAATATGAATCCTGAATTCGGAAGAAATTATATTCTTGATACCGCAGTAAGTGAATCATAAGCATATATTTATATCTTTGATCAAGATATTGAAAAATTTTTTGCTATCAATGACAGGGATTGTGCGTATTGGGTTATCAGCGATCTATGAGATTTCCGGTGGTTAAACATTGGAATGTGACCAGTAATTTATTTCAAAGGACTTAAAGAACAGAGTAATGCTTAATAGTTTGTTATTATATTAATAAAAAAAAAAAATAATAATGATAATACAAGTTTCATATTAACTTTTACATTACTAATAATCTGGAATTTGGAATTCTAAAATGATATTGTAAAATAATTGTTAAACGTCCTTTAGCAAATCTCTTTTATTTCAAATAAAATAAATAAATATAACAATAAATATACCTTGCGCAATTTTATTTTTTGCTTCGATTTTTAAGCATTTTCTCTTGTATAGCTCGGAATTCCTCTTCAGTTGGTTCATTCACCATTACACCCTTGTTCTTAGTTTTCTTCCCTTTACCAGTAACCTTTGCCTTCTTACTCTCATTACTGCCATATCTGGCCTCTAAACTTTCAATCAATGCGCTCATTCGTTTTCCCCCTCTCTTAAGTATAATGTCACTTATTTCTTTTTCATCTCCATTATTCACCAATCCAAGTTCTTTCGCCATCTTTTCAGCTTCTTTGGCTTCGCGTTCTGCTTCCATCTTACGTTTATTTATCGACGATTTACTAGAAGTTTCTGTAAACTTTTTGTATGATCGGATTTCCTTGGATTTTATTGCCTCATTGAGAATTTCACGAAAACGTGGTTCATCATCTAAATTGGAACCTGGAACTCTAGTCATGATTTCATCCATGTTACCTTTAGAAGTTTTGTAGGCTTCAATGAGGTCTTCACGTTCTTCCTCTGACCCTAAAATTACAAGGTTGATTTTTTTTTTTCTTTTTTTTAAAAAAAAAAACATATCAAAAAATTCATTGAATGACATCTCCCTATCTCAAACGAACCTTGATATTTCTTTTTAAATTCGTCTATCGAATTTGCATCGACAACGCCTGACCATAATTCTTTGAAAAATTCTTTCCAACCATCACTTCCTAAATCCTCTATACCAGGAAGGTCGCCCACTTCACCAGACTGATCATACCTTTCCCTTTTCTTAGGATCATTGAGTATGGAATATGCGAATCCCAAGGCTTGAAATTTTTTCGTTCCTTCCTCTTGTTCTTTTGGTGTTAAAGTGGTCAGTTTATCTGGGTGATATTGAAGTGCAAGCTTATAATATGCCTTCTTAATTTCTGCCGCTGTAGCACTTTCTGTAAGTGAAAAGAGGGAATAAAGATCTGTGGTATCTGAAAGGAGGTCTGTGAACGTTTCCATACTTTCTTTAAATATAAAACGTAAAGGTTTTTAATGTTAACTTGAAACGCTCAAAGTTAAAGTTTCACCCTGCATTGATTAGTATAATACCTACCTACTTGACGACTTATTTCGTAAAAAAATTTGTCAGTAAGATATAAAGGAACTTTCTATATAAAAAATATAAAAAAAAAAAATTTTTGAATTTTTACTAACGAAAATCAAAAAGTAATTTTATTGTAAAATTCGCTCTTTATATAAGAAACAGTGAGGAAAAAAAAAAAACGCGTTCCATTTACCTATAAAATGAGATGTGATATATGGGAGCACGTGGTTGTGATTGGTCAAGTGACGCCCTTAAACATGATATTTAAGAGAACATCCAAACCAATTATTTCGATTACAATTTGAATCAACGCGTTAAAAAACGCGTGCGCACTTTTTTCTTTATTTTTTTATTTTATTTTTTTCTATTATTCTCTCGTAAAAAATTACGAATAATAAAAAGAAAATTTTATTTTGCCTTGGGAATAAACTGATATAAATATGGACGACAACCGTTTCTCAAAGACTCGAAAAGGGAATTCTGACTTTAGTCAAGGACACGTTAACCCTCGGTTTTCCGAAACCGAAGAAACAAATCATTCTGGCGAATTCGGACTGAATGATCCTGATATCATTGTGGGACGATATTTAATATATGACTCAAGAACTAGACGTTGTTACGCTAGAAACAATTCTTCGTTTGAAATAAACACTCCAAGGGATGGAAATCACATATCAAAAATGATGAATGTTATACTAGGGCGCGCATCTCCAAATTCAATGAAAGAAGTTACCCGTCATTCATCATTATCGAATCCATGCATTCCCTTATATAAGCCACCCGAGCCTACATTTATACCACCACCACCACCACCGTATCCACCACCGAAAGCGTCCGCGTTTTCACGTATTCCACCCCCACCTCCACCTCCCAATTCTCCACCATTGTTATCCTTGTCTCCATTTTTTCCATCTTCACCAGAATTACCCTCGACTCCAATAGGTCCACCGCAAGTTATACAGGCCACACCGGATAGTACACCACGAAATCTGCAGAATTTAAATACATTAACGGATAATAATAGTCCGCCTTATTCTCCATTTCCAGATTCTCATTTTGCCCAATTTGATGTACCAAGTCCACCGGTGTCCGCTCGTGGGTTTTCCCCATTATCTAATCCTTATTATTCGGATGACTCAGAATCTTCTTACTCGAATGACTCGGTTCATCACTCACCGACAACACCATTACCAACAACCGAGATTAGTTCATCTTCCGCTCAACGTCATTCCCAACTCTTAAGAAATTTTAATGAAAGATGCGATTATTT